CGAATGTGAGAGTATAATTTCGTTCAGTCATTTTAAACATGCTACCCCTAGCTTTTTATCAATGAACACTGTAATCCTTCCAAATATTCGTCAAGAAATATTTACAGTAAAGTACTCATGTCGGCGGAAACGTTCATATTATTTAATGGGGTGTTTCTGTCTAAGACAGTTTTCACCAGTGCAATAGCTGTCTTTCCTCCCAATAGAGTAATATTTAGGAGCGAAGACTTAACACTGCACTGGGATGAGTTATAGTGAATCGAATAGAATTTCTTACACACACGCACAGCACCAGATTTTGTCAGACGCAATGTTCAGTAACATTGGCTAGACCGATGCCTCCTGGCATGGCTGACCGTAACATTCAAACTAAAATTCATATGTAATTTAACAGTCGATGAGATTCATCAGAAAGGTGCATAACTTAGTCCGAGAATTTATGGACCACATTGCAAGTCTACTAGCTAAATAGCAATCAAAATATAACTAATAAAATGGCACCAACGGAATACCAATCTATTAGCTTCAATCTCGACACTACTAGTGTTTGATAAGGGCATCGTATATAAGTGTAAAACGTATTGAAATAGAAAATTCCAGGAGTCAAAAATTGTAATTTGTTCGAGAGTGTAACGTAGCTCATTGTTGTACTGTTTCATGGCAAAAAGGTATTCACTACAGGACTATTCTGATAAAAGCGTCCTATCCCACTTAAAAACTCCACTGTCCCCAACTTATCACGATGTGGCCACGAAAAACCAAGGAGCTTTGCATTCTATTACAAGCTCGTGACTGAGTTTTAGTTAACTATTGTAGATCTCGCTTATCAACACATACCGTGCTTTTACTTGTGACACAAACCAAGTCTTCATCTACCTAAGGATCAAACCAATATTAGCAAGCTACGTAGCCGCGAAGCCATGCCAAAATATACTGAGTTAGCTTTCAATACATTCTAAATATGACAGTCTGAATTTATATTTTAGTTAGAAACGTTTACAATAATTGTAATTGAATAAACTATTAAAGATCTGTTTCAAGAGTAATTTCCATTAATTTTTGAAAAGAATTGGAGAAGCACAGTTTCTGTACAATTCGTACCCCTCTAGATTTTTGCCTCTTACAAAATTCCTAGAATTTCACTATCTTTGGATTTTAATGGAAACATGTGAACAGTAATGGCAGTAAATATTGTAGTTGTAGGAAGACGCCCCCCCCAAAATGCACTTTGGTAATTTTCGTAAAATCAGGTATTTAAACGACCATGGAACCTGCAGCATTCTATTAAGCGTCCTTTACAGCATCTGAAGACAAATTTTAATAAAAAATGGTGCCATTTCTAAGAAAGTTTTGGAAAAGTTGTTGAGGTTTCATGCAAAGTACCCTCAAAAATTGAAATATATTTGAAATTCCCAAAATTCTCGGGTTCTTTCAGATCGATTTGAGGAATATCAATTGTGGACTGGCTGAAGGGGTTATGCTCTAGCGTTGACCAAAGACGGACAGGCAGTCGTTTTGCCGTCAATGGATTTTTCGTTATCAAGGACTCACAAAACTTGGATGTGGCTGCACCACATGTTAGAGGAAGAAATACACCATAAATAGGGACAAGATTCATCCACTATTTAATTACTAGGGCACGACAATAAGAAGTTTTGTGTGTAAAATTCGCCATTTGTCAGCGCTCTATTACAATAGTTTTTCTTCTTAGATTCATAAGGGGATACATTAAAATTGCAGCCATCATCCACATTAGTTTGAAAAAGTCACAGGAAATTCATGAAATTCATGCCTACAAAAATGAAAATACTTTAGTTATCTCTGGAATGACGCAACTAGATCTTACTCCTAAGCTATTAACCAAATTTGAGCTCAAAAGCGTCTTATCGCCTGAACCCATCCATCGAAATATACATAAAATAGCAATAGGGGAAAATATTTTAAGGATCGCCTCACCTGCATGAAACGTAAACATTTTATATATAACTATAATTATTTGCAAATGTAATGTTCAATAGAAATGTAAACGTACTCTGTAATTACCTATCTCTCAAATATTAGAATAGTGAAATATTTCCAAAATAATCATGAACGATTCAATTATATGAGTAGAACTTTTGGACATTTACATACATTTTAAAGTAAAAAGGTTTGTAATTGGTGACTGTTTTGAACTTCTTACCATCATCTCTTTAATGCTTGCAAGTCTTTACATCAGTTACACGGGATGTTCTTCTGGTGAAAAATCGAACTTCAGAACTTAACACACGAAGTTTTTCACTGGCAGATTGAACTGCAAAAACATACGTCAAATGGTTTCATAGGACTTAAACAGCTAATCCTACCAAATCATATTCACTTCCTGCGGTGTTACAATATCGAACAGAATTGCACTCACACGTACGTTTTCGAATTCTGACTGATGATGAGCACTGAAGCATGATTAGCATAGATCAGATATCCTTAGTCAGATCCTTTCCAAACAAAGGATTCCAGTGATCTTCAAGGACGAATTCACTGTGGTTCATAAAATAATATAAAATGGTGAATAACTGCTTTTATTTTACTCCATTGATACGCTGCTCAACGAAACAGTGCACATACGTCCATTTCAATTGGTCTGTTTAGCGAGAAGTATTATGAATTGCAATGCATTTAAATTCACATTAAGATATACATTTAATCTGTCTAGTCATCAAACGTCATGAAATCCTACTAGATCGATGGTACACAGTTTCCGTTCTCCTTGTGGGACGCAAATGAATATTTTCGTAGATAAGAATCCCAAACTATTGCGTTCATTTCGTCTGTCCATCAATTCACAATACACAAATGCAGCAGCATACACCCAAATTCATTAGTAGTACACGCCCTGTAAAAAAGCATGTTTTTCTGTCATATGTCCAATCTGCCTGTACACACGCATTGACGGAAGGACAAATGATCAGTTCCACTTCGATGGTTTATACGCCTCGAAACGTAACAACGATCACACCTAGTGGCGTCGAAAAGACGATAGAAATGTGTCACGATCCATGCTTCTCCCGAACTTGAAAATCTAAATACATCTGAATGATCACATACATTTCAGCTATTCATTCACCTCCAAATAAACCTTCAAACACAGGTGCAAACACCGATGCTGAGGATGAATGAAGAAAAAAATCCATAAGATAAATTAATCTTGATGTTCTTCCCTGTGTGACTTCAAACTCGCAGAGATGGAAATAGTAAAGCAAGAAAAATCCTCCCTTCAATTCGTTTGCCCACCCAATCTCGAAATTTGTGGCAAAACATAGTTATGCAAAAATTATCACACGACCAATATGTGTCTGATATGCACTGTGGTTGAATAGCGATGATTTACCAACACAGTCTGAGTCAAAAGACGATTCGCTGAGTTTCGCTAAGAACGCAATGCAAATGGAAAACACGCAATTGCAAATTCTTGTTGGTATAATCATACCCAACAGGAGTGCAGCACACTCGTGTTACATTACGAATGCGATGACAAATAACTATACGCCATCCATGTTAATGTATTTCTCCAATCGTTTGTCAGGTAAGATGGGGGATGGAAAATAAAGCTGCATGATTACATTAATTTCGCCGCCAGCCCATCATTCTTCAAAACAATCTGCAAACAGGTGGCGAATATGGGTTCAAATGTTAGACTCTCAAAATCCCAACCAAACAATTTCTCTTCCCGAGTCCATTCATTACTCGTATTTATATCGTTTGTTAATCCTCGAGATCACATTAATTTCGCAAACGTAGGATGTGTAAGTTGAGCAAGGTGTGATACTGTAGATATCTCAACATGAATAATCACTCTTTATACCTCTATTTATTAGACACGTTTATCTCTTTCAGTAACATCGGTCACTTTTTCCCGCCCATTCCAAACAAAGGAGAACACACGCCTGAATGTCGCTCGTATAAAATTCTTCTTCAACATTAGTCCATTCATTAGATATATTTATCCCCTCGTTTATTTCAACGTTCATCTGCACTTGTACCAAGGCGTCTTCTACAGCGATGATGTGGGCAACACGAACACTATCAACGCTCAATTCTTCTTCTTTTTTCCATTCATTAACGCGTTTACCTTCAATATTACGTTACGAAATATAGATGTGTCAATATCTCCAAACGAAAGACTAAACATATTCGTAAAATGGTTGCCATACTATGTGTCTTCAATAATCATGTTCACTTGTTCTACCAAGGTACTGCGATGATGTGGGACACACAAACTCTCTCCACGATCAATTCTTCTTCGTTTTTCCATTCATTAGTCGCGCTTATCCTCAACATTAAGTTACGAAATATAGATGTGCTAATATCTCCAAACGAAAGACTAAACACATTTTTCCAATGGTGGCTATACTATATATCTTCGCCAGTCCGTTTGTATGAATCGCAATCATTCCAATTCGCCTTCATTACTCCATTTATTAGTCGCATTAACTGATTATTTCAGTGCACGTTGCATTGTTCTGGTTATTAATTTCTCGAACGCGCGTGCCGAAACGCCCACGAAATATGATACGCCTCGGTGTGTTCGTTCGTGAGCGTCCATGGGAACGAACAAAGCAGTCGCAGCTGCAGTTGGCTTCACGGAACGAGCCCCTGTGGGATCTAACGAGGCAGTCGCAGGTTGGGTTGGCTTCACAAGAGCGACTGCCTACGGGAGCGAACAAAGAAGTCGCAGGTTTGGTTAGCTTCACTGGAGGGAACGAAGCAATCGCAGGTCCGGTTCGCTTCACTGGAGCGTGCGCATACGGTACGGGAGTGGACGAAGCAATCGCCGATTGAGTTGGCTTCACCGGAGCGAGTGCTTATGGGAGCGAAGACGCAGGTACGGTTGGCTTCACAGGAACTAGCGGGAGCGAATGATACAGTCGCAGGTCGGGTTGGCTTCACGGAAGCGAACGACGCATTCGCAGGTTGGGTTGGCTGCACGGGAGCAAACGAAGCAGTCTCAGGTTGGGTTGGCTTCACGGGAGCGAACGAAGCAGACGCAGGTTGGGTTGGCTTCGCGGGAGCGAGCGCTGCCTCTGCCGCCTCGGCCGGACGGGCGACTGTTCGTCAAGGCAGTTCGCGTCGACGCACGCGCTGCCTGCCACGGCGGCCGTCCCGATCCCGGCGGTCGCCTGCTTCTGCATCTTGCCGGCGCGCAGCTCTCGAACCGCGCAGCCGCGCGCCCCCAGCGACCGCGGCCGCCCGCGAGCGTTCGAAGCGTAGGGGACGACGCCCGGCGCGGCTTGCGAGTCGGTCAGCACCGACACGTACGGCGGCAGAGACGGCGGGAACAGCACGAACGGGTAGCCCTTGGCCGGCAAGTCCGGGACGCACGCGTCGGTCGTTTCGAACTGCCAGTCTTTCGCGCGGGAGCGCGGGTTGCGCAACGGCTTGGGAGTTCTTGGCGACTTCTTCGTGTCGGAAGCGCGCTTGAACGTCGGCGGCAAGGGCGGCGGAGGCGGCGGCGGCGGCGACGGCTGCACGGGGGAAAACGGGGCGTTGAAAGTCATAGGATTCGCGCCGTAGAGACCGGTGGCACCCCACATCCCGGCCGCCATTCCCCACCCCGCCGCGCCGCTCCATTCGGTCAACATCGCCCCGACGCCCGGCGGCACGCCGCTGCCGAGCACGGGTTGCCGACACACGCTCGTCGGCGGGCAGCTGCACCCGACCGACAGCGGCTTCTCGCCAGGGCACAGCGCCCCGGGGCCGAACGGCGGCGGCGTCGCGGCCGCCGCCTGGAGGATCGACCCTCGCGGAGGCTCAGTGGCCGCTTGAGCCGGAACCGCCGCCGGGGCCGTCGCCTGGTCGACCGGAACGGACACGTCCGTCTGCGCGCTGGCGCTCACCTTCTCGCCGGAAGCGCGGCGCCGGATGTCCTGCACCGTGCGGATGGCGCGCTCCTCCACCTCCTTGCGCAGCTCGTGCGCGGCTCGCTTCACGTTCTGCAGGTACAGCTGCATGGCACTCTGGGCGCTTTTGGTTGTCGGCGTGACCGAATCCGTTTCCCCCGAGCTCTGCGGTTTGTCTGCTCGCTGTTTACTTCCGACTGATGACTTCCGAACGTTCCCATCCTTGGACAACCTTGCTGGAGGCCCGCTCTTATCGGATTTAGTGGTCAACGAACGTTTTTCAGTTTGCATCTCAGGTTCGCCCTCCCCTTCAGTTCCTTCAGTTGCTTTCGCCTCTTCTAGAATGTTTTTCTCTTCCTCTTGTTTTTCATCGCTAGGTTTTTCCTCATCCTGTGCCACGCTGGGCTGAGAAACTTCTTCATCCTTCTGTAAACTTTCCATGTTCTCCTCGATATTTTGAAGTTCGTTTTCATTAACATCGTTAGCCTGCAGAACCGGCTCGGCTTCCGCATCGCCTTCAAATACTTCCGGACTTGTTTCTACAGCTTCAGGGCCGGAGAAGACTCTTGCCGCGGTCTCGGGGATGTCGTTCCCTGTCATTGGGTAGACTTTCTGAGGTTCCCTGGGGACACTCCAAATCCGTTGTGAGTACTGATCTTGTGGTCTCGTCTGTGATCTTTTGTCACGAGCGAATGTTTCGGGTTCCCGCAATCTTATCGGAGCATCGTATGGGTCAGGAACAATGCTGTGTCGCCTTTCGGAACTGTGGACATCTTCAAATGAGTTGCTGAATGTATCCTGTGGAACATCGTCGCTGGAACTCCCCTGAAACTCTCTTTTAACGAATCCTGTTGGTTCCGAACTGACTGTAGGTGGCAATGCCAACCCATTCATGCTCGGATCTAGAGATCTCCTCTGTGTTCTTTCGTCACGATCAAATGTTCCCGCAGTTTCCGCTTCCGGAAATCTCATACGAGTTTCGTATAGGTCGTGCTCAGGTGGTTCATGGTGTGTCTCTGGTGTTTGGACATCTTCAAATGACTTATGGAATATATTCTGCACTATCCCGGCCTTGGGAATTTTCTGAGATTCTCTTTCTACGTAATTTGTCGGGTGCGAACCGTTTGTAACTGGAAATGCCGACTCATCAATGTTAGCATCTCGAGATCTTCTCTGCGATCGTTCTACGGGAACAAATCTTTCCGCAGTTTCGGGTTCCTGCAATCTCATCGGAACGTCGTATGGGTCACGCTCAGGCAAATCTGCGATCCCGTGGTCTCTCTCCGGGCTATGGACGTCATCAAAGATATTGCCAACTGTATCCTGCTTGATCCCATCTCCGGAACGACTATGCGATTCCCTTTTATCGACAGGTTCTGGCACCCAAGTTTCCGCGGGTGGCAATGTCGACATATTCATTCTCTGGGATTTTAGCCGCTCTTCAGATTCTTTATCCGCGACGCGCATGGCTCTATCAAACACAATTGAAAACATGTCCGGACGCTCGAAGTCATTTGTTCGGCTTTGCAACTCATCGTCATCGCTCCATTGCAAGTTGGTTTTAGATTCATTACCTCTTTCGCTTCCTTCTCGGCTGTGGTGAGTTTTACTTCCGATCTTACGCAGGTTCTCCATGCTCTTGTGAAAAGCGTCTTTTATTTGCGTCGATAATCTTCGCATCCCCCTTTTGAATTTAGAACCAGTTTCTACACCCTCCTCGTCGGTTGTGTGATCAAAACTCGGCACATTCCTGTCATCTTCCCCTCGCTGTGACGTCACCTCATTTTCTTGCATACCTTCGTCTTGATCGTGACTACTTTTGCTCCCGATTCGTCGTAAGTTTTCTGCGCTTTTGTGAAATGCTTGTTGAACTCCATGTGAGAATCTTCTGAAACCTTCTTTGATTTTTTCTCCTCTTGTGCTTTCTTGGGGTCTTGGTGTTTGATCAACGTTTATTGCGTCTTGTGAGGGACCTTCCACTGGCTCTCGACCTTCAAAGTTATTTGTCTGACGTGCTTCGGGGTTCCGAAAAACTATTTCTGCTGTCTTTTCGGCACTGTCTGTTCCCGTTTGGTACACACGCTGCACCGCATCAGGGCGTTTCCAAATATCTTGCACTGTATCTTGTAATTCTCTAGTAGTGTCCCGTTCATCGGACGTCTGTTTCAGCTCATCCTCATTCTCGTTACTAATTCTTTCCTTACTGGGATGCATTTTACTTCCGACTCTGTGTAAGTTTTCCACGCTCTTTTGAAATGCGTCCTTAATACTATGTGAGAATCTTTGAAACCCTCTCTTAATAGCATTACCCTTTTCCAAATTTGTGATACTATCTATTCTCTGTAGAGACTCCTGCTCATTTTGGGGTACTTGGTCTACAGAACCTTGTGGATAAAACTCACTTGGGCGTCGCGTTTCCGGGATCTGAAAAACTCTTCCTGCCGTCTTGTTGGCACTGTCCGTTTCCGTCTGGGAAACGCGTTGCACTGTGTCAGGACGTTTCCAAATATCTTGCACTGTGTCTTCTAATCCTCTATTGCTTTCTTTTTCATCGGTTGTCTGTCTGCTCAATTCATCCTCATTGTCGTTACTAATTCGTTCCTTACTGTGATGTGTTTTACTTCCCAATCTGCGTAGGTTTTCCATGCTCTTATGAAATGAATCCTGTATACTTTGCGAGAGTCTTTGAAACCCCCTTTTAATCGCACTACCTTTTCCAGAACTTGTCCCATTATCTCTTGTCTGAAGAGATTCTTGGTCAAATTCGGATACTTGTCCTGAGGAGCCCTGTTCACTAGGCTCCGTTGTCTGTCGCGCTTCGGTATCCCGAAAAACTCTTGCCGCTGTTGTTGCTACATTATCGGGTTCTGTCAGGTACACACGTTGAACTGTATCAGGACGTTTCCAAATATCTTGCACTGTGTCTTCTAATCCTCTATTCCTTTCTGTTTCATCGGTTGTCTGTCTGCTCAATTCATCCTCATTCTCGTTACTAATTCGTTCCTTACTGTGATGTGTTCTACTTCCCAACCTGCGTAGGTTTTCCATGCTCTTATGAAATGAATTCTGTATACTCTGCGAGAGTCTTCGGAACCCCCTTTTAATCGCACTACCTTTTCCAGAACTTGTCCCATTATCTCTTGTCTGAAGAGATTCTTGGTCAAATTCGGATACTTGACCTGAGGAGCTCTGTTCACCAGGCTCCGTTGTCTGTCGCGCTTCGGGATCCCGAAAAACTCTTGCCGCTGTTGTTGCTACATTATCTGGTTCTGTCTGGTACACACGTTGAACTGTATCAGGACGTTTCCAAATATCTTGCACTGTATCTTGTAATCCTCTATTCCTGTCTCGTTCATCGGTTGTCTGTCTGCTAATTGCATCCTCATTCACGTTCGAAATTCTTTCCTTACTCTGATGTGTTCTACTTCCGATTCTGTGTAAATTTTCCATGCTCTTGTGAAAAGCATCCTTTATATTATGTGAAAGTCTTCGAAACCCCCTCTTAAACGCACTACCCTTTTCTGAAATCGTGGTATTATCTGTTCCCTGTAGAGATGCCTGGTCAATTTGGGGTTCTTGTCCTGAAACGTCCTGTTGATTAACCTCACTTGTCTGCCGCACTTCGGGATTCCGAAAAGCTCTTTCCGCCGCATTTTCGGCACCGCCTGTTTCTGCCTGGTACACACGTAACTCCGTATCAGGACGTTTCCAAATATCCTGCCCGAATTCTTGAAATTCTCTATTCGTTCCTCGCTCACCGCTCGTCTGACCTCTCATTCCATCCTCATTCTCATGAGGAATCCTGTCCTTACTCTGACGTGTTCTACTACCTACTCTGTGTAAATTTTCCTTACTTTTGTGAAATGCGTCCTGTATATTTTGCGAGAGCCTTCGAAACCCCTTCTTAATCGCACTACCCTTTTCCGAACTTTCATTTTTCTCTGTTCCCTGTAAAGATTTCTGGTCATTAGCAGGTCCTGCAGAGTCCTGTGGATGAATACCAGTTCTCTGTAACTCTTCGGGGTTCCGGAAAACTCTTCCTGCTGTAGTTTCAACACTATCTGTTTCAGTGTGGTACACACTCTGTGCTGTTTCAGAGGGTTTCCAAATATTTTGCATTACATCACGGGGACCCGTATCTATTTCGCGTTTACCACTACTTTGCTCCTTCATCACATCGTCTCTATTAACTCTGTCCTTACTTTGGGAGATTCTGTTCTGTACTTTCTGAAGACTTTCCACCCCTTTGTAAAACACGTCTTGAATATCCTTCGTGAGCCTACGTACTCCGCTAACACTAGGTTGATCAGAGAGCACATTGCTCTGAGGAGATCCTTCATGGTTTTGCTGATTTGTTTCTCGATTGAGCTGTGACTTACTTCTGGGCTTCTGCGCACCTTCAGATCCCTTGGGGGCTCTTTGAACGTCCTTTTTGAATTTGTGGCCAGACTCGACATCGACAACCTGGACGAGCACCTCCGTGTCTTCAGACGAAACGACCGGAAGCTGTGATGAGTCTCTTTCGTCGCGGAAAGGTGCTTGGCTTGGCCGAGCGTCATTCAGCTGCTGGTCTGGATAGGGAGGTCGGGCGGCATGCTGGACCCGCTGCTGCGCCATGTCGGCGTCCTTCTGGAGCGCAATATTCCTTTGGTTATCCGAAAGCCTGCGGCCACCCCTTGCTTGATTCGCATCGACCAGGTGGCCTGTCGGTGGAGTACTCCTTCGTCTGTGTTGTTCCTCCTCTTTGCTGGGACGCCGTTCCGTGCCGTGCGAGCTCTGCCAGGAGCTTCTGCGTTGTTGATGTGTCTGCAGACGCTGCTGATGTTGTTCCTCCTTGCTGGGGCGGGGTTCGGAGCCGTGCGCGCTTTGCTCAGAGTTTCGGCGATGTTGCTGTTGCTGTTTCTGCTGCTGTTGCTGCAGGCGCGTGTCCTCCTTAGCAGTACGGCGTTCTGTGCCCTCCCTGAGCGGATCAGAGCTTCTACGTTGTTGTTGTTGTTGCTGTACGTGATGGCGTAGTTGCTGTTCGTCCCTACTGGTTCGGCGTTCCGTGCCCTCCGTGCCTGGATCAGAGATTCTACGTTGTTGCTGTGTCTGCGGCTGTTGGCGCAGAGGCTGTTCGTCTTTGCCGGTACGGCACACTTCTTCCTCCCTGCTCGGATCGGAGCTTCTACGACGTTGCTGTTGCTGCAGCTGTTGGCTCAGTTGCTGTTCATCTGCGCTTCTCCGGCGTTCCGCGCTCTCCCTGCTCTGATCGGACCTTCTACGTTGCTGCTGCTGCTGCTGCTGCTGAGGTTTTTGCCCGCCCGCCCCTCTCGCCATCGGATACGCGATGACGGTGTACGGTATGGGGCTTTCCGGGTCCGCCCACATCGGCACCGCTTTCCCGCCCGGCAGCACCATCACCGTCTCCGCGCCCGAGCCCCGCTGCTTCTTGCTCGCGCCGACGACCACCACCGGCGCGCTCGCGTCGCCGGGCTCCACCACGCCCGCGCCCGCGCCTTCTAGCGTCTCGCACACGCGCGACAGACGCGCCTGCAGCGGCAGCCGCGACGACTCGCCCCCGGCCGCGGGCGGCGCCACGGCGGCGGGGTGGGGCGTCGGGGAGGCGTGCGCCGCGTCGCCTATGGGGTGAGGGGACGTCCCCCTGGCCCCGCACGCCACTTGGTCCGCGCGCCGCCTCAGTGGCGGCGGCGCCGGGCGCGGGGCGCACGCCGCCCGGTAGGAGAAGGCCGTGGCGAGGCGCGCGGAAGCGGACTCTGCCATGGAGGCCGACGTCGCCATCGGCGCAGGCGAGAACGACACGCTCAGGCGACGCGGGGACGTGTCGTCTCGCCGCCTCGTCGTCTGCCGCGCCTCCTCCTCCTCCCCCACCTTTAATAATAATTAATGCTACTACTTCTAATAATAATAATATTACTAATACTCGTAATCTGGGCTGTCCGGGTGACGCTCCGAAGAAGGCCAACATATCTTGGCCTTCTTCAGGGCTATAGTGCGCCAGAATGTTGTGCGCTCTGGCGCACCTGGTGGACCGCATCCTGGCGCACTGTAGCCCTGTAGAAGACTAAGGTATGTTTTAATACAAGTTTGGAAATCAAAGGATACGAGATTAGAAATGTGGTAAAATCACAGGTTATCCCGAATCCCGTGAGATATCGGAGCTCTGAGATTTGTCCCGTAAAAATTGTGTAAAAACTTGGCAAAACTCTCTGACCATTCAAAACACTGGGAAGGGCAAAACATCCGTTAATATTTGTATCCCTGCACAACTGTCGTCTTTCAAGTGTTTTCGTGAACTTCTCGTGCTGTGTCACACGATTTCGTGTTTGCAGAGTATTATGTAATGTTATTCCGCACGAGAAGAAAAAGGATGCAGAGCAGGATGAGAAGGAAAGTAAGGATTGTCTGAAGAAAAAAAGAGTAAAAGGAAAAAAAAGAGAGAGAATAATATGAATAAAATTAGTGGTATTACAGAGTGGCACAGACTTTCTATATTAGGTAATTATTTCCTTTTGTGTAGGCTTGAAACGTTTCTTTATTTTTCGGTTTGATATTAGTAGAACGAAAAATGTTGTTTAAAATAATATTAACTCACAAAAACAAAAGTGTTTACAAATAGATGGAAATGTGCATAGACCGGCGTGAGGGATCTTTAAAAAATTAAATTTGTGTAATGTTTTAAATCAAACACAAAACGAAATTAACTTTACCTCATAATAAAGAGTGCAACTAGTACTATTCTTGCAATAAGTTTAAAGAAAAAATTTGGAACCGTTTTTGAGAAAATGGAGTTTGGTCGTTTCTGAAATTGCGAAACTTTGAGCAAGTTTTGACATAAAACGGTTGAGTTTTTCGAGAAGCTTTATATAGCAATATTTAAAGCACATGTATTCATAAATATAGTGAATAAATTGTCACTAATGTAAATATTAACAAAATGGCGCAAATGTAATATTATAGAGCACATTCTGCACAATCCCTACCAAATGTTTAAAGAAAAACTTTTGGAGCGGTTTTTGAGAAAATCTTGTTTTAGTAAATTTTTAAAATTGCACGTAATATTGCTCGAAAATTACAAAAATGTTTAGAAAAATGTATATGACCTTAATGAAAGAACAAATTATGGGTAAAATTATTTGAAGGAAAAATCTATATCTTTAATTTTGTAGTTGTGGACAGTTCCCGAAATAATTCAAACTTTTCAATTTTTTGAAAATTTAGAGTTATTGGTGAAAATTGGACCTATGCAATGCACTTCATACGTGTATTTTACTCAATTCTTACAAGATATTTAAAGAAAATATCCTACACATGATTTAGGCCCTAGTGTTGTTCCCATTCACCAGACAAACACGAACAGACTGACGTTATGAAACAACACTTTTCGGTACCAGGGGACCCCAAAACGTGTATTTACGTTGAAATCTCGAAATCGATTTTCCGCAGCATTACATAACCTTCCATACATATGTATGTATACGGGAAAGTAAAGAGGTGAATATGATATAGGAAATGAAGAGAAGAGAAGAAAGATAACAAAAATAAGAAAAAGGAGAATTCACTTCCGTAATGTATTTTACACGTTTTTTCAGAATTATAATTATTAATATTATTACAGCCCTGGCTACTGCTGGCATAATTATTACTATTATTTTATATCAGTTTTATTATTATTACTATTATTTTATATTATTTTTATTATTATGTAGTTTTTTATTATTAGTTATTATTTACTTGTATTATGTCTATCTTCATATTGAAGAAGTTTGAAGTAACCACTTCCCAAACATTTTAAATGATGGGTTTAAATGAGCTCTTGATGTTCTATCAGGTGCTCTCATCAACTGGATTTGTAGTTAAAATATTTTTTCAATATATTTAAATTAATAGAAATAACATATAATTGTTGCCTTTAATTTAGAATTTGTCATTAATTTATTTGCCTTTAGTTAAACCTAGAAAATTAAGTCATTTTCAAGAAAAATTAAAATATGATGTATTTGCATCATGAGGTTATAGTTGGAGAAGTAAAGATATGAAGTGTTTTAAATTCAAATATAGACAACTTATAAATGAAACGTTAGTGAGTGTATGTAAATAAGCACAATATTTCGCAATCGTCAGTCACATATCTCCCTTTACAAAAACATTTCAGTGATTATGTGGAGTATTACGTTCTTAAGTTAAGATGGATAACAGGATATCCTGCAATAGTCCACTGCAACATGTCATGGTAAATACAAAACATTTAACTTATGTTTTTTATTACTGATTACCTCTGTGTTCACAATGAGTGGTGATTGTTTTGTTCCAGAATTGGTAAACCTTCATTTAATTAGTTTTGAAGAATGACAAGAAACAATATTTTGGAGGTTTCGATTTTCCATTCATTGTTTATCGTGATCTTACACGGAAAAGGTAGTAAGCTTAAGCTCATGGAACTAAAAATCTGCAGATGAGAACTTCCCTTTTTGCAAACAGAACTTTTTGTATAGATGTTTCTGAACGCTACATTGCTAAATAAATATAACTGGATTTCAAACCTTTTCCTTCTAAGCACACTTTCAGGTTGTAACTTTTCGGTAATTCTTCCATTAGTGCAATGAAATCACAGGTATTCAATTAGTTTTAATTTCCAGTTTAGGGGAGAACTCGTAGAGATATGTCTTCTAGTAACAAAGAAGCCTCTCAAAACTCAGAATTATGATGAAAAATGATCAATTTGGGACCCTGTACGGACGAGCAATTTTACGCATAGCATTACAATATTGGCAATTAGGTATTCTAACCTCTTTATAGAAGAATAACAAACGATTAAGAAAAATTCGTAAAATAAAATATCAAATAATGAATAAATGCGAAATATATGCGAAAATTTGAAATAACTAACAAGCGCATAATAAGCTGCTAACACTAAAAATTAAGTATTGAGGTTCTACTTCGCCCTACCTTTACACAATTCCGAGCACCCTCTTCGTTTACTTCTTTTCTCCGAGTATCCATCCCTCGGCCAGCTGCAAGAGCGGAAACCCGTGCGGGAATATCCTTCTGAAACTTGATGCGGAGATCCGGAATCGAACTCGTTGCGAGATTGTGAACTGCTCCAGGCCCTGACGCGTCATTCTGCTGTGCTCTTAATACTTCAAGAGCTTTTCCGGCAGTTTCAACCGATGTCTGTCGACCTCCTTCAGTTACGGGTCGGCTCGAACCGGTTCGTTGAACGGAATCGGTCGCGGAGTCGGTTCTGATTCGGAGTCGGTTCGCGATTCGGTTCACCTCGTGCCTTCGTTGCGGAGATTCCGTGAACGAGCCTCCCTCCGATGAGGTGTTGCTAAATGTCAGGGAGTGTCGTCTTCCCGTTGTAGTCTTTCTCTGCGTCTTTTCTTTTGTCACGACGTCGTGGGTGCGATGCTTCTTGGCATCCTTCGAAAGCCTGGCTTTCTCCACGGTCTGAGTGGACATTTCTTCTCGTCCTTCGTGGGGATCCGTTGCTGCGGAGCGGTTGACCGCGAGATGATACCGAACGCAAGTTCCCTTGTTGTACGTCAACTTCTGCGTCGCCGGAACATTGGGCAGGGCGCTGAGTACAAAATCAGAGAGACTCTGCGGTGATTCCACCATAAACGCTGGTGAGAGGTTGGAGATTGAGATCACGCGTTTCTGCTCGCTGCGAGACACTTCAGCCGAATTCGATTTTCGCGTTTCTTTGTGAAAATCGTCCGGCGAGCGGCTGGTCTGAGTCTCTCGGTCGCAAGCCTCTTCTTCAAGTTCCTCCAAGAGACGGGCTTGAATGCCCACGTCTTGGTAGGATAACCCTTCGTCGGTCGTAGGTTGGTCATCTTGAGTTGAATACGTCCACGAGTGAAGTGCCACCGACTGGCCCGAGATTAGACATTGGGTGTAGGAAGAAGAATCATCTTCCATTGCGGTTCCAACTGAGCGCTGAATTGAAGTGGAGGTATCACTGAATCGGGCATCAAACGTCCGCAATTTACCGTTTACCTTTTCATATTCACAAGTGTTTGATGCTTGAGATTTACGAGTTACTGTTTGTTTTTTCGTAGAATCATTTTCCGCTTCTTTTCTAGAGTTCCAGATAGCCTCTGCTGCCTTTGTAGAATTTTTAGCAGATTTGGAGAATGCATACTCGTTTTCCTCCAAATTATCTCTTGGAAAATACTCTCTACATTCATAAAAATATTTACATGGAGATAGTGATGATTCAGAGGACGACGTGGTTTCGTATGACGAACAAGAACGAGAATCATAAGTCAAAAAGCTAGTTTGTATTTCTATGGACATTTCTGTTCCTTTATAGTACTGCAATCCCCTCTTTAACTCTTCAAGTGAACGTGTGGAAATCGTGGTTTCTTGACTCCGTTTATTATTTTTTTCGCCATCACTAGTTTGACTGTTCTTAGACCTTCCTTCTTCTAATGTAGATTCTTCGGAGACAGAGGAAGAAGATTTTCTTTTCGGTATGTCCTTGGAAATTGATGTCTTCTGACCTAATGTATTCTGTTCACCATCGCCAGAACGACTGCTCTCCGACCTCTGGTTGCATAATTCAGATTTTTCAGATACGGAGGAAGAAGATTTCATTTTCGGTATGTCCTCGGAGGTAGTTGTCTCCTGACTCAATTTATTTTTTTCGCTACCACCAGAACGACTGTCGTCAGATATTCGTTCGTCTGATAGAGAATCTTCTGTACTAGAGGAGGAAGAGTTGATTTTCAACGTTTCTTTGGAGGCAATTGTTTCCTGTATTAATTTATTTTTTTCGCCATCGTCAGAAATATCGTTCTCAGTCTTTTGTTCGTCCGATGTTGATTCTTCGGTGTTGGAGGTAGAAGAGGTCTTTTTCGGAGAAAGATCATTGTTCGATAACACACGTTGAGAAGAATCAGCCTTTTTGCAAGACTCAGAAGTTGTCGACGACGCAGTATCATCTTTAGTAGACAACGAATTCTTAGACAACGTGGCCGGAGACGACGCTGGCGATACGAAATTGGTATCTAATTCTCTCATCGACTCTGAAGAAGTTTCTTTCTCATTTTCGGCGTCTGTTTCATTACTGTTCTCCAGACGTCCTATGCTTGACACCGGCGTACTCGAAAACTGAATCGACATCGACTCCATCTTTTTCAGAGCCTCATCAACACGATTGAAACGCATGCTCAACTTCTGTTGTCTGAGGAGGCTCTCTACGAGATCTTGCGTCCTCTCCTTCAACAGCGTTATCGTGTCAACAGTTTCGCGCCTGGCAGAAAACCCAGTCTCGTATGATGTCTCCGGCTCATGTAACGGTACTTCATTTACGTTTTCCCTGGGCAAGGAAACATCTTCTTCTCTGGTTTGTAACCCTCCCATCGTCGTTGGTGCGTTGTTTTCCCTGCGTTGCCTGCTATATAGAGACAAGACACTACCTTCTTGGCTATATCTTTCATTCGGACGGCCGACACTCACATTGTTTGATTCACCATTTCGTTCTTCAGACCGTTCCACTCCCTCACCAACTTCAAACTTTGCATCCTGGTGCACCACCAACCTCGAGTCGCCGTCTTGCACCAGACGTTTCTGCAGCCGTTCCTGCTCGTTCTTCTCGGAAAGCGAACCCTCCGCAAGTTTCCGCTCTTCCCCCGTTCCCGGTCCCAACTTGGATTTACCCCTTGGCGAGATCTCACCCGGAAAGAGCGCGGTCCCGAACACAGAAGCCGACGATACGATTGGCCTAGCAGGGCTCGGTTGCCTCCCTGCGTCCGCGGGGTTTCGCGTCGTCGTTTCGGGCATCATCCGGGCGCTGCGGGCGTCTTCCACTCGGATCTTCTGAGGCCCCGATTCGAGGTCTGGCCCGTGCAGCGAGGCGGTCGTGCTCTCCTCCTTTGTCTTCTCCGTCTTCTTTGTCTTCTCCTCCATCGGTGGTTGATGGAGGGCGGGCAGGTCTGGGCTAGACGCCGGCTGGAGGAAGTTGGGATCCCGCTTCATCAGAAAGTCCTCCAGCACACTCAAACGCAGCGACGCTGAACGCAAGCTGGAGGAAGATTGGGACGTGATGTGGCCACTGGGAGCCGCGCCACTTTCTCCCTGAAAACACAAGTTTTGGAATAAGTTCCACACTTATGAAAAAAAGTATTACGTTCACCTTTGATTTGACAAAAGGCCTCCCTCGAAGAACGTTATAGTACATTACACATTTAATCGTGTTCAGTTTGCACTAGTTCAAAAAACTTCAGCAACTAAATGATTTAGTGGTAATATTAAACCGGATATCAGTCTTCTACATTGATGGAACGGTGCTACCATGCATTAATCCTGTATTAGTGGTGTGGCGGGGGATATCTTGCGGATCCACACACGGCCGATATTACAAATATAGTGCGTCAGGAACATCTCTCCGCACTGAGCCGAGTGAGTGTCTTGTATTAAAATCTGCATTTATGTTGGTAACTACCAGAACACTGGGAAGCTAGTCAAGGGAGAAACACTTCCAGCATATGTAATGACTGTAGTGAGATCGCAATTGATCAGCCTACTTCAACTGTGTCAGTCATTTGCACTCCTTTGGCTTAATGTCGTTAATAACTATATTGGTGCAAAAAAACTCGTAAATTGACGGTGCCGAAGCTACCTTGCAAAATTGTACGTGTCCGATATTACAAATACACTATGTAATCAATAGTATCCGAACACATGGCTGAAAATGACTTACCAGTTCGTGGCGTCCTCCTTAGGTAATGCTACAATTCAATAGGGTGTTGGCCTAACCTCAGCCTTGATGACAGCTTCCACCAGAAATGGCAGCCCATTCTTCACAGAGTGCTTGCGAGTGCTGCTTTAGGAAGAGGTATCGACGTAGGTCACTGAGGCCTGGTACGAAGTCAGCGTTCCAAAACATCCCAAAGGTGTTCGATAGGATTACATTACAGGTGCATTACAAGAACGGGGATTACAGATGTGCAATACAGGGATTCGTATTATCATTATTATTGTCGCGTAAGCACTCCGCCACAGGCCGTGCAGTATGGAGAGGTGCTCGATCGTGTTGAAAGATGCACTCGCCATTCCGAAATTCTTCAACAGTGGGGAGCAAGAAGGTGTTTAAAACATCAACGCAGTCTGTGCCGTGATATTGCCACACATGGGGTGCAAGTCCCCTCCATGAAAACACAACCACATAACACCATTTTAGATGTGCCCGAATACTCTTGATCACATAGTGTACGTTAGTAAAAGTCGGCTAAGCCAAACTGCGTCGCAGTATCGGCTTAATGAATTTATCACCCGCATTGATACCTTGCGGCACGCCTGTTCCGCGCTGGCGTCCGCGTTGGTGGCTCGCGAGTCGCGCTGCTCCACGCGCGCCAGCCGGTCCTCCAGGGCGTGGAGGCGCGACGGGTTGGCAGCGTCGGGGGCCTCCAGGCGCGCCACGCGCCGCTCGGCCGCCAGCCGGGCCGCCTCCAGCCGCGCCACGCGCGCGCGCAGCTCGTGCTCGGGCGCGCGCGCCGACTCGGCCTCCAGCGCGCGCCACAGCTCCGCCAGCCCGTACATGCCCTCGGGCAGCAGCCGCTTGGGCCTGCGCTCGCCTGCCATCTCCGTCGGGCGGCGCGGGACAGACAGGGAGAGAGAGCGTTTGCTGGAAAACCACACATGTTCAATTACTAATGTAATGTAGTAATGATAGTGTGACGTCATGGATACTCACAGCGAACACAGACACAGAGCTTTCATATAACAAATATATTTATTAACAAAGAAAACACAGCAGATATTTACAATTAATTTCCTTCTTGCACCCTAGCTCTGATAGACCTACTATCCCCTTGATCGCGGGAGCGATCCAAACCCGATTGATGATCGGTTTCGATTGTGGCATTCGCCACTCCTACTTCTGAAGCGCGCACATTGCCTAGCTTCCGTGACCGGATGTCACACTGGGACACGAAGTCCGTAGTGGCGTACCAACTGATGGTTTGCCTCGATCGCAGGAGCGATCTTATCCGATTGAGAATCGGCGTGAATCGTGGCAATCGGCGTGAATCTAGTGATGTTTTTTGCTCGGGAGGTGGCGGTGATGTTGCCTCTGCTGGATAGCGACATCCGGCATTAACCAACGTCTGCTAGCAGGGATTTTCACCACCCAGGTATCTTCCACCAGTGGGGCATCGCCAAAACAAGCTCTCGACCGGTCTCCCGACATATGTGTTCAGAGTAAGTGTGGTAGGTTAGGCAAGGGGTATGATAGGACAAGGAACGATAAGAAAAGATCGTTCGCTGCCCGTAGCCCGTTTGGTAGGGTACTGCTCTGACACTAGTATTCGTCTGGTGTTAATCGGAGAAACTACAGGAAACTACCGACCGAAGCAGCCAGCCACCAGAATTCTCCTCCAGACAGCGACAGAACTCGACCTAGCTATCTGGCTAGTGTCAAGCCCTTCAATTGAATCGTTTATTTCTGAAACCCGTCAAATGCCAAAATCTAATATCTACCTTTACGGCGGATTATGTTTCAATAAGATAGACACATCGTGCGTATTTATATGAAATATATTCATTTACCAACTGCTTTAATAAATAAAAAAAATAATCAGAAAAATTAGGAGACGTTTTCTCATTTTTCTGGAAACGAGGAATTTGGCGTTTGACGAATTTCTGAAATAAACAATTCAATTGCCATGTGTCACAACGTGTTTACTATGTCTCCTTACCTCTCTGCTTTACTGCTTACTAGATAGTTGTTGATTGGTTGATTAGTGTGAGCGATATCCGGCGCCAAACTACACACCGGCTTGCGGGAGTTTTCCTCAACACGTATCTCCTACTAGCTGGGCACCTCTCCAGTCGGCCAAGCTCTGCTAAGCTCCCGAGCAGTCACCGAATTTGTGAGATAGTGTAGTGCATGCGAGTGTGTGGTTGTGTAAGTAAGGAGTGACAATACAAGGGAGAATGTAATACCGCGCGCGGTCCGTGGCCCGTTTGTTAAGGAACAGCTCCGGTATTCGTCTGATGTTGATCGGAGAAGCCACAGAAAACTCCCGATCAGAGCAGCCAGCCGCCAGATTCTACTTCAGACAGAAACTGATTGCGACGTAGGTATCTAGTCAGTGTCGGACTCTAGGACCACCCGCTCAGAAACCTCCCACCGCAGAGACATCAGTTGATGCCCTGAGACATCTTTGCCTGTAGCAGTCATGGTTGGCCGAATTTCAAAACAAATGTTTGCTTCTACACGTTTCTTGGTCTAAACATTCGCAAGTATTAGGAATAATGGAGCTTTCCTCAATTCCATAATAATTGGATTCCCTCGTGCCACATTCAGTGTGATGTTTGTTATTGACACTCTCAGATTTATTTGTCCATGTTCGAGGTAAACGTGATTATTCCATTTTGTATTTGTATATTGATTTATTTCATTTATATGTTTACAGTCTATAAAATATTTTATTAAATATTTGTACTCGATCTTTATCAAATTAACTATTCATTATCATTTTACATACCCGAGGTAAACTCGGGCACGATGACCTCGGATACTCGCGAGCGTACGTACAAAAGAAGAGTTGGTAAGACATAAAATAATAATGGTTTTGCGTAAAATATGCAAATGCATATGGTTGATAAGTGGTGAACAAAAATAATTACTTCCCAGCATTGAACATATAACATCATTTTTAAGGGATATATCTACAAATGGTCTTGTAAATAAAAACAAGAATGTTGTAAGCGTAAATTTTATAAATGGTTAATTTCACAACAAAACATTATGGGAACATTTTATTGGATATTTTGCCTTTATTAAATTTTATCTTGAGAATAATGTTCAATAGAATTAATAGGTATGGAGATATATACAAAAATGTACAAAAAGGCCACCCTCCTATGTCCGGCTCACCCTGTTCTACATCAGAAGTTTTAGTATAATGTGGGGTAGGTACCAACGAAAAGTCGTGCCAAATTTCAAAACTTGTTTTAACTACTTGTCTAATTTCAATGGGTTATGATCTTGGAACCCCTCCTTGGAAATGATATATTTAATCATGGATACAAATGGTTTAGTAAACGCGTGGTTTTCTTTGTAACCTACATTATCAAGAAAGATATGATTGCGTTTATATTAATTTAAGTAATTTTTAATATTTAAATCTGTTAAATATTTTAATATTTAAACTTTTTAAAGACGAGTTTCTTTAATGTCAGATTTATTACATTTATTACATCATTTCATTATAAATTCATTACATCTCAATAGTTTTTTATTCAGAAGTATGAAATATATGATAAACTACACAAAATAGTTTCGCATGGAACTCACAAAATATGTTATATAAATAAGAAGAAAAAAGAAACAAATAAGTTTTGGAAGATACAAAAATGAGATAAGCATAAATCTCATCCAATTTGGGCTCTAATTTCATAACCTCACACTGACAGCCACTCTTGTCAATGTTAGTTCTGAGTACATGCAATATGGTTACTTGGCTTTTGGAAGGTAGAAGTTAAAAAGGCAAGGAATATACTAGAAACTAAAGAAAGATATAAACTGTATTAAATCTCACTGTACATATGCACATGATATTAGCATGAGAAATAACTTATTGGTTATAAGGTAACTGTTAATTTGTGCGAATTCATTGAACATGAGCAGATAAGCAATGACATATTTACATGATTTAAAATACCTTTAATCTTTAGTGATGACCAATACTGTTGTACACAATAGTTGACTTTAACACTTGACACCTAATGGTTCGAAAAATAAGCAATAATCTTCAAATTACTACAAAGGAATAATATTTTCCACATACCTCGAATAAATAGTTCAAAAAATTCACAAAATGTGAAAGATTCGACAATTTTTTTATATTCGGAGAATTTTCCGCATTGCAGCACTTGGCAGCAGAAAACAATCAGTGTGTGACAAAAAACCAAAACCAGAGTGGGATAAAAACAAAGCAATTACGTCTTAAAATAAAAAGAAACGTAGCGATCCTGGTGGAGTTATAAAAATAAATGAAGATGACAACTTGACAACTTACGTTTTTGTTACTAAAATGCTCTGAACTTTTCTGAAATTGCAAGTTAAATTGATAATTATTATTTATTTATCTTTTACATGTCCCAATATTACAATAATGCAAAATAATATGATTAGCTATTGCATCTGTCAATTTATTGCTTTAGCGCTCAAATATCTTTTCGAAGTTATATTAACAAAAGACATTTAAATATTTCTAACAAAAGAGAAGTGAGTGAACTAATTGATTATATGATTAAATAAATGAATATATTTTTTGAGTACATTAGGATTATGTTGTACCAATAATGCCAATTTTTGAGTTAAAATTCTATCGATGTTAATTTTAACATATACATTTGCATGTTAAGTAATATAATTGAATATAACTTTCATATTAAATGAGTCCATATATCTCTCCAATCTGTCCTCCTATCAGTCCAATTTTCAACTCATCAATATAATAATTTACGTTAATGTTAATATATCTAAGTTTGCTCAGCTCTTGTTATTTACTCAACAAGTGTGAATTTTCCATTAAAAATGTATTGGTATGACATCTGTCACTACAAGTGAAACAAATAGTCATCTTAAAAAATGTAGGTTTTATTGTTTTTAGAACACTGTTTCAAATATAATAAACTGTATAATCAATAATCTTTGAAAAAATGGGTTTTGGAGATATATTCAATATTTTTACAGATATCTTCTAGAAATTACTTTATCTGTACTAGTATGTAATATAAGTATTATGCTTATAAGTCAGAACCCAATTCAAGAATATCACTAAAATCATTGCAGACATGATTTCTCGGATTAAATGGGAAACAATTATCAGTAGTTTAACATATTTAATAGTAAATAAATAAATCTGCATCTCTTACAACTTTATTTCAGAATGACTTGTTGGATCTACAAATATTTCAACCATCATATTTAATCTTTTCACTAAGTTTTAATTCTTCTCATTCTTCATTACATCTACCAAAATATTTTTGGAATATTAAGTGTGAGAGAAACACAATATTTATTCGTTGTTGAAAGATCTTCTGCCTAAAAGCTCTTTCCCTGTTTTTCTGCATCACAGCAACGAGAACGATCTATTCGGAGAACGATCTATTTCCTGCCAAAAAGCACACAACAAATCATATGTTGTAGCCGGTCTTGAAGGACATATTGCATATAGTACAATAGGCGCTCTGTAAGTCTTTCTGCAGATCCACCAAGTGCAGAGTCTTATGTCACGCACGGCGTCTTGAACGGTGAACTCTTCTCAAGCAGCAGTTAGACGAGATTGGCGGGGCACAAGTTTGAACATTAACACGAGTGAAAAGCGTCCTTCTCTATTTAAGATAAACCAACTGCAGAGTATTCTGTCACATACGGCGTTTTCACGACCTGGGCCATAGTCTTCTTCTTGGACGACAGTTATCTGGACACATGGTTCATCAGCCGAACTTACTCAAGATTGAAAAACGTCTTTTTCTGACGCAAACTACCAAAGTACTATCTTCTGTCACGTACAACGTCTGCGTTACCCCTTCTCGGGTGGCAGTTAGGTGGAACACGTGGCGCACTTATCGATCATTACCAACTATACAGTCTTCTGTCACGTACGGCGTTTCCTGAACCTGGACTTTTTCGCGAATCGGCCATTGTCTGGATCACGTGACGCATGCGTGGACGTCATTCCCAAGAGTACAAAGCGGCTTTCTGATTTGAAGCTCGACTGAGATGTATCTACCAATTGCAGAGCCAAGCGCCTCGTATACCATCTGACCGATCTGGATCGTAAGCTCTTCTTGTTCGGCAGTTATCCGGGACAATTGGCGCACCAATCGAACAAAGCCGAGAGTGCAAAGCGGCGTTCTCTCTTGAACTCGAACAAAATACCGTCACGTACGGCGTTTGCTCAAACTGGACAGGATCTTCGTTGCTGGCGACCGTTCCCGGGATATGTGGCCCGTACGTCGCACATTACAACGTTTACAAAGCGGTTTTCTGTGTTTAAGATTGACTAAGATGAATCGACCAACTGCAGAACCAGTGGTCACGTAAGACGTCTGCACGACAGTTTCATGGGTCACGTGGTGCACCAATTGAACATTCCCAAGAGTAGAAAACAGCGTTCTGTTTTGAAGACCGGCTAAGATGTATCCACCAACTGCAGAGCTACCCACCACGTACGGCCTCTTCGCGACCTGACCCCGTGATCTCTTCTCGGACGGCAGTATCCAAGCGTGTGCAGATGGGGTGTATCCAAGATCGGCTAAGATGTATCCACAACAGCAGAGCCACCCGTCACTTACGGCGTTTTCGCGACTTTGACCGTGATCTCTTCTCGGGCGGCAGCTGGCCGGGGCACTTGGCACACGCATCGGACGATTGTTCAGCCGCCACATGCGAGCTCGAAGGCGCCGCCGGCGGCGGCGGCGGCGCGCCCACGGGCATCATGCCCATGGGCGTGCCGGGGAAGTAGGGCATGGCGGCGATCTGCTGGCGGCCCATCGCCGCGGCGTGCGCGCACTCGGGTGTGTCGGCCGTGCAGCCCGGCGACGGATTGTCACACGCGCGCCCGCGCCCGCTGCTCTTCGGCCTTCGCACGCACGACGGAAAGCGTTAACACAACTGTAACGTCTTCACCTTGTGTACGTGAGTACGTAAGTGTACCTGCGTGTCATGTGATAGGCATTAGAGAGTTAATCAATCAACGCGAAGCGTATAATAAAGAAGATAATAATGATACACAAGAAAAGACGAGGAGAAAAGCGAAGAGCAGAATAAGGAGGAGAGCGCCGGGAAATAAGAGATAAACATAATGGAGGAAGACGAGAAAAATGGTTAAAAACACGGAAATATAAATAAAGGAGAGAGGGAAAAATAAAAAAAAAAGGATTTGGAGAAAAGACGAAAGTCGAGAATTTTAACAAGAAGAAAATATGTAACATCTTAATCTCTCGTACTCGTACATTACGTAAGTGTATCTATGTATCGTGTGATAGTCATTAGGGAGTTAATCAACACGGAGCGTAGAAGGTAAATGATACGAAATGTTAATGCTATGAAACAGAAGACGAAGAAGAGAAACGATAAAATGCAGAATAAGGTGGAGGATGATAGGATATGAAAAATATGAGGGATGAAACAAATTATAAAAAAGGATAGAGTGGTGGAGGTAGGAGGAAGGAGTGGAGGAAGTGGAAGAGTGAGTGGTAGAGAGGGGAGGAGGGATAGGTGGACGGATTGGAAGAGGTTAAGGATGGGTTGGAGGAGAGAGTGGACGAGCGGAAGGAGAGGTAGGAGGAAGGAGTGGTTGGAAGGGTTGGAAAAGAGAGTGGAGGAGAGTAAGTATGGGTTGGAGGAGGGAATGGATGAGGGGAAGGAGGAAGTGAAGGAGGGGATGGAGGAGGGAGAGGAGGAGGGATTGGAGGAACGAATGAAGAAGATTTTGGAGAAGGGCGTGGAGAGGAGTTTGGAGGAAGGGAGAAGGGTTGGTAGAGGGAGTGGAGGTGGCAAGGGGAGGGGAGGAGGAAGCGGAGGGGGAAGGGGAGGAGGGAGGGGACGGATGGCAAGAGGAAGTAAAGGAGAGAGTCGAGGAGAGGCGGAGGAGGAGCGGAAGGAGAGGGAAGGGGGCGGAGTGGAGAGGGTTGGAGAAGGAAGGGGTAAGAGAGGGAGAGGGATAGAGTTAGGGGGGAAAGGTTTGGGAAGAGAGGTCGGAGGCAGGTAGGAGAGCGTTGGAGGGAGTGGAGGCAGCGGAATGAAGGCGAGGAGGAGAAGTGGAAGAGAGCGGAAGAAGGGGGCAAGAATGCGGAGAAGGAAGACTTACTGTGCGCGATCGCCACCTGGAGCGCGCTTGGCGCTTGGCGGCGGCGGGGCGGCGCGCGGGCGCGGGCGCGGGCCACGCACGCACGCCGTGATGGGCTTGTCGCGGCGCGTTTGTCCAGCTTGGCAGCGGCCCGCCCGCGGCGGGAGGAAGACCACGTCCGCACTTGCAGAGCCGGCAATTGCAGCCCAGAACGCTGGTGTCGCCAGCCACGCCCTCGGTCAAGCGCCGGCCATCTTGATGCGCCTCCGCCCGTCGGCCCCGCGCCGCCGCCTCTGCGCCGCCGCCGCCGCCGCTCCGCCGCCGCCGCCGCCCGCTCCACGCAGCCCGTGCACTCGGGGTCCTTGAGGGGCTCGTCCTGGCAGCACTCCGGCACCGCCTTCGACGGCGCTGGCGGGGGAGGCGACGCAAGGGGCGCATTCATTGTTAGCGATTCCACGCGCGGCGACCGCTAAGATCATTACTCCCGTAAGTGTAGTACATTTGTTTCCCTCGAGAGGTGGCGGTGATCTTCCCCCGCTGGATGGCGAGATCCGACGCCGACCTATCCTGACAATACCTTAACAATCGGGCCACGCTCGGATCTCTTTCCTCTTCCTTGTCCTATTCTCACCACTTACTCACACCCATTTACGCTTACGAGCAAATACTCTACCACACATGTCGGGAGACTGGTAGGAATCTTAGAGCTCGACCTGGTTGCGGCGCTGCCTTGCTGGTGGCAGACCGGTGGCTAGATTTCGAAAACCGGCAGGTACGTCGGCGCCGGATCCAACGGGAGAACATCACCGCTACCTCCCGCGCGTGTAAGAAAAAGTGTGCACTACACTTACGGGAACAAACGACCTTAGCCGTTCGGAATGACCAATCAACCAAAGAGGGCGAACCTCGGGGTTGAAGAGTGAAACCCTGGGGAACACCTCTAGTTCTCCGTTTCGTCGCTCACCTTTGCTCGGGGGGCCGGGAGGGCCAAAGACGCCCGGCGGGACGAACATGCCGGGAGGGCCGAAGGCGCCCGGAGGGCCAAAGGCGGTGGGAGGGCCGAAGGCGCCCGGAGGGCCGAGAGGGACGTCGCACGACGGGAGAATGAAGGGCGCGCCTGGGAAGGCGCCGGGGACGGGGACGGGGGCGAGGGCGGAGGAGGTCGGGACGCCGTACGCCCCACCCTCAGGAGACGCCTGCAAAACACAGAGACGGCGTGTTTTCACTGGGCTGGCAATTTATCTTCCGCTGAAGATGAAGCGACGTGATGAATTTTTTTCTTGGAGGAGAGAATATTTCTGTAGATAAAATTCGTTCGATATAATTCTGCTATAAAGTGTATGTTTTAAGAGTGGCAATTGAATAATTATGCGGGCGATTTTGGCCTCCCAAATCACGTGATCTACCCCTTTTCATTTTTTTTATTTTGAGGATAATTGAATAATTAGGCGATCTTAGAAAAGCCTTAGTGAAGAGCTCCGGCGCTCTGTTAGAGATAAAATTACAGCAATTCCATATTTTTTGTGCTGCAAAGTATTGATCAAAATATTTTATGAAAGTGTCCAGAACATACTGGAGTTGATGGGCAGTTCATTGAGCCTCTTCTCTTGTATATATTACTGGCTGATACCTCCTGAGACCTAATATGTGTCCCTTAATTAAACCAACAGACCTGCTGGTTAAGCAACTTGGGATACATAGGTTAAGCAACTTGGGATACATAGGTTAAGCAACTTGTTGAAACTTAACAAGCGTTTCCTACTGCAACCAACAGTCTTGCTGGTGAAATGAAATATGCCGGCGAATAAACTTTCAGAACTTTAACAAGTGTTTTCCAGTGAAACCAACAGTACTACTGATTGAACAGGATATACTGCTGAAGCAACTTGCCGAAACTTAACAAGTGTTCCCTTATGAAACCAACACACCTGCTGGCGGTATAAAATACACAGGTGTATCAACTTCCTGAGTTTTAATTTATTCGATTATTTTTAAAACTTTGTAATTCACTCTCTTTTGCATTTTCGTTTTTGTGAGAAAATAGAAGCTGTATGACAGATGGACCATTCCATGTGTAATTCCCATACATCAGATGATCAGAATGACCATGAAGACAGTGTAAAGATTTGCTTTGGTTTTGAAACTTCGTAAGTCAATAACTTGCGGGGTGTGTACGACTGTGTATGTATATGTGCATGTACACAGTGTGTATAAATGGTATGGGATTGGTTTAAAGGGTCGTTCAATACGGAAATATTCCTATGTACTATCATAGAAACACATAATTCGTGCAGCAGTTTCTGTCATATGAATCATGTTTGATGTAGATTCACTTTGTCATTTCACGCATAATATTACCATGAATATGTCAAATTACAAACTGAACCAGCAACGTGTAATTATTTACATGTTTAAGTAAAAAAATCCTGATTAGTTTTTGAAATCCCGCAAGTTATAAACTTTTAAATAAGTCCAACGACTATTTTACTAGGATACAAATACATTACATGTCTCCATGACCATCTCAATCAGTTTTGAAGCATCAGAAATTTAAAAAAACATAATTTACTTTATTATTCAGTTTATCTAGTTTTCCCACAACATTACATTTCTAGATTTGCGGGGTTTCAAAAATAATGGATTCAGTTACACAGGCACACCAAAAAATTGTGTTCGTATCTAGAGATCAGATCATGTTTCAATGTTTTGGAAGTCGCTAGATCAGAATCCGGTGTCCATTTTCACTCCATCACATCAGGGTTTTGATATAACCTCAAAACAACTTAAAAATGAAAGATATTTCTAATAAAGGGGTCAGATCATGTTACCTACATGTTTTTGGCATCACTGAAACCGAATCAGAAGTCCATTTAACTTCATCAATCAGATTTGTCACATAACATCAAATAAATTTAAAAGCCTGTGTCTGCTAGTGATCTGGCGGCAACGAAATTGGCAATCTGCCATTCATCAACGATATGAGCGTTATCCCGACAGAGGCCAATGGCACCTTCTTTATCAATTATAATTGAACTGAATTTTGAAAAAAATGATGTGATGAAGTTAAATGGACTTCATATTCGGTTTTAGCGACCCCAAAAACATATAAGTAACACGGTCTGACTCTTCGGATAGAAATATCTTTCATTTTTTAAAATTTGTTTGAGGTTATCTAAAACATCTGATGTGATGGAGTAAAATGGACACCGCATTCGGATTTAGCGACCCCAAAAACATATAAAAAAAAGGTCTGATCCCCAGACACGATCACAATGATTTTTAATGTAGCTGTGGTATTATCGTTCCTTGCCAAACCAATGTACACTATGTGATCAAATGTAACTGGACACGCCCAAAATGGTGTTATGATGTGGTCGTGTTTTTCATGGAGGGGACAGGAATACCTTGTTGTTTTGTGTGGCACTATCACGGCACAGGCCTACGTTCATGTTTTAAATACCTTCTTGCTTCCCACGGGTGAAGGTCAATTCGGGAATGGCGATTGCATCTTTCAACACGATCGAGCATCTGCTCAAACTGCACGGCGTGTGGCGGAGTGGTTACACGACAATAACTTCCCTGTAATGGACTGGCCTGCACAGAGTCCTGCCTGACTTGAATCCTATCGAACTCGTTTGGGATGTTTTCGAACGCCGACTTCGTTTCAGGCCTCATCGACCTTCATCGATACCTCTCCTCAGTGTAGTACTCCGTGAAGAATAGGCTGCCATTCCCCACAAAACCTTCCAAGACCTGGTTGAAAGTGCGCCTGGGATAGTGGAAGATATCATCAAGGCCAACACTATACTGAATTCCAGCATTACCGACGGAGGACGCCACGAACTGGTAAGTCATTTTTAGCCACGTGTCCGGATACTTTTGATCACATAGTGTATCAGGATACGTAACCTTCTAATCGTACTTCGAGAGATTACGAGCCTATGGTCTGGTAAGCTTTGCAGTAGTGCTGCCATCAGAAAATAGGAATGAAAATAATATTGGAGACCAGGCCGTAAGTACAAGTGCCAGCATTCCTCTCAACATTAAAAGCATAAAAACGAGAAGAAACGCTAGAAGAAGTGTTGGTAATTGCGATTACTGCTGCAATTGCATTGTTTATTTCAGAAACACGTCAAACGCCAAAATCTAATTTTTCCAAGAGGATGGACACATATTTTATGCATATTTATAAGCAAAATATTAATTTATCAAGTGATTTAATATATACAAATATTTTGAAATCAGATAAATTAGGGAGATGTTTTCTCTGAATGAGTAATGTGGCGTTTGACGCGTTTTCTGAAATAAACGCTTCAATTACTGAACATAGCGTACGAATACCTGCGGCGCGGCGGCGCCGGGCGGGCGCACGACCAGCGTGGCGGTGACGACGCTGCCGTCGGGCAGTCGATGCGACATCTCGCGCGCTTCCGGCTGGTCGAGGCCGCCGGGGCCGGCGAACGCGGCGGAGGTCGACGGCTCCGCGGCGACGGAGCCCGCTTTCTGGTTTTCCACGCGCGCCAGTCGTTCCTCCAGCTGCCGCAAGGAGCGCTCGTGGCCGCTCTGCGCCTCCTCTATGCGCGCCACCCGCTGCGCCACGGGCCCTTCCATCTGCCGGGGACGAATGTATTCACTCATTCATTCATTCATTCATTCATTCATTCAGCTCTCAAATTGTTGAGTTTGAAGAGCATGGAAAATCATATAATCATAAAAATAAATTGATATTAAGAAAATATGGTCCAACCATTTTTCCGTGTAAAAATATGCAGTTAATTGAATGAAAAAATAATATTAAAAAAAACAATTTTTTGTTATTACGATGGATGTGAGTGGGAGGAATATAAAACGACCACGAAAAATTTTTTTCATGGTCACAATCCTTAAAAAACATGTTATTTTCAATTTCAAAAAGGGGGAATGATTTACCACCTTATTTGGCTAGACCCTTTTGATGATATTGTTTAAAGAATTAAAAAATAGAAATGTACAAAAATACATTATGATACAAGTACTTGATCAATCGCAGTGAAGTTAACAAACCAAGTATTGACACTAGACCATTGAGCTTCGTTCAAGTAAGTGTTTTATTTTATTGTATACATTTCAATTGCAATTAATATTATATTATGCTTGTCAGTTTTTATTTCTCTTATTATTAGAATTCTTCGTGAAATATAATTTAAAATAATTAGGACCGTAATTTCACTTTCATCATATTTGACTAGCGCAGGCGGACTGGTAAGCAAATCCAACTGCGACAGGGAAGGGTAGGGTCAGGGAGATGTCCGCTAGGGGTCCTTGGCTGAACCCTGCATGTCAACTGCCACGAAACGATTCAATGTAAAATATTAACATATAAAAATTACCAGAAGCCGTAGAAAAAGTACCGTATGATACTCGATGTAATGGGTATTAATACACTCGTGTGAAATTTACGATACTCATGTGTCAATACCCATCACTACATCATCGTTTCACAATGTACTATTAAGGGTAACATGTTGAATGACTACTACTGCAACTTTGATTCTCGATCACTGAAAAGTATTATTGCAAAATTCGGAGCACACACTTCATATTCAACATTTTCTAGTATCCAGAGTGTCCGAGAAAAAGTATTGCTAACTTCTGTAGAAAATATCTACGTAGAAGGCCTACAATGATCACCTTTTCCTAATGAACATGCGTTGGGAAATTCCAAATAGACAAGTTACATAATGAGAACTTTGCTTCTGATTGTTGAGAAATTCCTCATTAACTGTGCTCCGTTAGTCACGTTCTGACGTACTGAAAGAGATTTCGTGTACCTGCCAAATAACAATGCATGATGCCGCATAACAATCAGAAGCAAACAACACATTTTTAAATAAGTAATATGAAACTTTCCACCACAGGTTCATTGGCAGAAGTAATTTTTCTTCGATCTCTTTACACGCTGTAGAAGCTTGTAGCATTTATTCTACATTCTGTATTCGCTCACATTCATGCGGTCCGGGGAGGAAACGTCAAAATTTCGAAAATAAGATATTAAGACAATTTGAAGCATTTTTCCCCCTCTACTTGGATATTCCGAATGGCTGAGTCACAATAAGAACTTAAAAGAGTCGATGGCAGCTCGAGGGTTTGAAAGCACTTCCTGTTCGTAGAGCGCCGCGCGAGCGAGCGAGCGATCGAGCGCTGCGTGTACTCGAGT